ATAGCCTAGAGCTGTTTATGTAATGGGAGAATGCTTTGTAAACTTGAAACACTGCAAGATCTTTGTTACTGCTGAAGATGTGGAAAAGACAATGAGGAGGACAACATTAAAGCATGACCATTGCAGCAGATAGATTCTAGAAATGAATCTTTTGATATCTCTTTTGCACATCTTCTTATGTATCATTTGCCAAAATTGGGGGATTCTTTTGAAATTACAATAGAGGACAATTGTCAGAGGTGGGCTGGGGGATTTAAGACTTACTTTGTACACAGTATGTTCACATTGCCTGATTTAACTTTGCAAAGCACAGTAATACCTAAGGAGGGAGGTGTCATTTCCTTTTCTGATGATGAGAAAATAAGTCTAAGGCAGGTAAATTCAGTCACACAACTAGGAACTATGGGTAGAGGCAAAATCATGATTCTATTTTCTCTTAGATATTACACCATTGAACGGAGTTTTAAAAAATATTACTATTTTATTGATGTGTGTGTGGGGGTGTCGTGTGAGATGTGTGAGGGGAAGGATACACACATGTGGATCCCAGAGGACAATTTTGTAAAGTTGGTTCTCTCCATCTTACATGTGTTCTGGGGATCAAACTCAAGTCCTAAGGCTTGAAGTGCTGGTGAATTTACTCACTTAACTTATCTCACTGACCCCAGGGGGTTTTTTGTTGTCTCTCTCTTTTTTTGCCATTAAAGCAACCAATGTTGGATTTGTCAATAGTAACTTTTAAGAAATACAAGGAAAAGACAATTTCTGAAGGCTATGGGGAGTAGACTTGCATATCCACTAGAAGGTCATGCACTAATCACATAGGAAAGCCAGTTCAGACACTGTAGATGCATGATGAGTTCTACAATCAATGGAGTGTGGCTGAGAAAACCAGTCTAGGGATTTTTGATAAAATTAGGAGACGTCATTGATGATATGGACAATGAGGTTGGTGATTGATTCTATAGTTTGTTCCTGAAACTGCATGGATGGTGAAGAAAGTGGAAAAAAGGTAGTAGTTACATTGAAATGTCAATGAGAATGACTAAAAAACAATTTTATCTTTTGATATGCTGTGTTTGGGGCAAAACAGAGTAATAGCTGGCTTTAGTCAAGTGCTTATACTAACCTCCAGGCACTGTTTTGAGTGCTTTAGAGACAAGGCTTAGTAGGAAGTTGGAAATAAAGGGTTGGAGCTCAAAAAAGATAGCATCACTGAGATTTAAATTTGATTGTCATCAAAATACAGAGACATAGTTTAAGTTACTAAGGCAAAAAATGTGGCTAAGTATGAAATGCTGAGAAAAGTCACAATTTTGGAACATGAAACTCTCAAGATTGTAAGTTCTCTACTAAAGATTATGCCTGACTTGTTCATCACTGGAATATTAGGGTGTAACACATCCTTCCAACGTAGAGGTCTCTCAATAAATATCCATTGAATGAATAATATGTTAAACTATCAGAGAAGCATTAGTTAATGGCCACAGTATTCTGAAGATCAGAAAGAGGATTTGAGGAGCATTAGAATATGGGAAAGACACAATGGATACTGGGAGGAAATCATTGGACTTGGCAGTTAAGCAGACATTAATAGGTGAAACCCAGCAATTGTAGAGGAGCCGACTCAGCTGGGCTGTAATACAATACAGTGTCAAAAAAGAGAAGAAAATAAGAAAGAAATTGGTATCAATTGTATTGAAAAGGTTAGATCTACCGAAGAAAACTAAATTTTGTATTTTTACATTTCTGGGTTTGCTTTTGCTTTTGGCTTTTGGTTTGCTTTTCAAATACAGGAGAGTTCAATGTTTGTTATAGAAAAACTGTAGGTAGAAGCCTGCCCTGGAGTGTGGTTGACATAAAATGGACTCCACATTTTTGTGAGTGTATTTTTGTTTTGTTTTATTTAGGTCCTTTATGTCTTTTTGTTTTGATATTTTTAGAGAAAGAGATGGAGAGAAAGAGCATGAAGTTGGGTGGCTAAGGTGGTGGGGAGTGGAGGGGGTAGACTATATTGTGTGGATTCTTTTTAAAAGAAAAAGAAAAGACAGATACTTAATAAAATGGGAAGGAAGTTTGTTGATTTCTTTCTTTTAAAAATATACATTAACTTACTTTTTGATAATTTCATGCTTGTTCACAATATTTTTTTTTTATCAAATCCACCGCCCATTTCTTCCTTTCTTACTCTCTTCTCCTACTCCATGGCCACTTCACCCTTCCAGCTTAGTCGACTTTTTCTTAACCTGCTGAGTCCACTTAGTACTGCCAGTGCATGACTGTAGGGCTACTGAAGCATGAAAAACCTACCAGGGGACAGGTCCCGAAGAAAACTGACACTTCCTCCAGCAGCCATCAATTGCCAATGGCTCCTGAACTCCATTAAAACAACAGTCATACTTTACTGGCTGCTGTAATGACTGGGCCAGTGGCAATATGAAGAAGCAACCTGGGTATGCTTACACTTTTGGGGAAAAAAGGGGCTAGTATTACAATCAGGTCTTTACTTGAATATGGATGACAAACATGTTTTTATCCTTTATTCTCCTCCCCACCCAAATATGTGTCCTATTAGTCTTTTTACTTTATGTCAGCTTGGGTATATTGGAGACTTCCATGAAATCACACTTGAATACAGGCAGAATGAAATAAAAACGTAGACTTTTAGGCTATATTTTATATACTAGACATGATTTCTAGGATGCGGTTTGTGTTTCTAGTGTTTCCTATGAAGATATTTCACTATTAAGCAGTCTCCATTAAGGAACATAATGAGCAGCACTGTAGGGAAAATATGCAGGGTCCTATGTTTATTTAAATTTCTGCGCATTATGTCTAATCTCCACCAGACCCTTCAGGACTGAAGCATTTAATTGAAGGATTCCTGGTGTTCTGCAATCCTAAAGTCTGTCTCACTAAGAAAAATCGTGCCGATACTTCACCTGAAGAACAAATTTAATGGATTTTAACAGTTAGCTTTCTATTCCTTTGTGTAGAACTGCTTTGTAAATTCTTAAAAAGGAAAAGCTCAAAGGCAACTAAATGACCCTCTCTTTAGTTGCTTACCAATATTCCATTATCGGAAACTTAATTTTCACAGTATGAAGAAACTTTCTTGTAATGAAATGCAACAGAGTTTCTACTGATATATTCCTAAGTTATTTGCATTAGTATCACTTAAACAAGGTATTGCAAATTCAAATGCCTACAAACTATCTAAAAAGCAGAAAAAAAAACCAGCACAAATACAGAGACTAGATTCTAGTTGAGACTAAATGAAGAGAACACAATGCAAGGACATTAAGAGAAAAAAAATCCCCTCAATAATAGCATCTTCTGGGAAGGTATTTTGCGACTCTCCTCCCTTTCTCTTTGTCATTAGAAACAGCTTTCCAGCACCAAGGATGCTTTGTACATGTAAAGAAGACTGAATGCAGCAGTTCTGGTCTTAAGGCAACAGAGTAAGTATTGTCAGTAGACTCCAAGGCTAATTCCAGTTGTACCATTGTTACTGCAACTGACAACTGATGTGACATTGTAAAACAATGAGACAAAAGTGTCCAACCCAGATGTAGAGACCCACTTCAATGCCTTGAAGGACTGGAAATACTATCCTCCATCATAGGAAATGAAAAGATATGCTATCTAGGAAATGCCTGTCCATCTACAGTGATCATATTAAAAACAACAAATCATTCTAAGTCTGAAAATACCATTTTGCTGGGGGTATTCTACATTGTTTTAACCAGTGGCAAGATTGCTGGACAAAGCGAAATCAAAAGCTGCATTTTCAATAAATGTAGTATAGACCCTTAAGGAAACTCATAACTACTAAGCTTATATCCTAGAAGAACCAGGTTACAAAAACGTGTACAAGAGCCTGAGATCAATATTTCTTCTTACAAAGACTAGCAGAAAATACTTAAAAGTTGATATTCTGACTTACAGGGTCACAAAATTTTAGATTTTATTTCTGGTAATATTCTTTATAGGAAAACTCATCTCTCCTCACTGATATTTGCATAAAGACATCATGTCAGGACAAAGTGCCTATTTTTTTCACAAATGTGTCAGTTATCTTATTGAATCGAAGTAAGTACAGCTCTAAAATAGTATTTACAACTTTTTAAAGAGCAAATCCTTTAATATAATTTCAGTTTGCAAGATGAAAAATGCAAGCATTCTTATTTATTGTGTGTGTTGTAAATTACTTTAGCTGTTATAGTTTTTCTTTTAAACCAACCGATGAAATAGAACTCGATAGTTAATGACTTTTATTTGGACAGCATGAGTAATTGGCTTAACTGGAAAACTGGCATTTCTGATCATTTAGTCATTTCACCTTTGTGAAATTATCCTACTAATTGTGTTGAGGACTTCTCTATTTTCTGGAATACATTAAACTTTTCTTGACCAGATAGCTACATAAATTCCATTGCCTGGAATCTCTAGGTAAGTTCATGGATAATATCTAAGCAGCCCACTAAAGGTTAAGTTTTAGAAAGCTTTTCTGTCCTAAGCATTTCAACTTTTTGATGCATGAAAAGACTTACAAGAAAACATAAAGTTTAACCCCTATTTGACTGCTGCCACTTTCAAGTCCCGGTCCTTTATGCTTTCTTTCCACCCTTAAATTTCTGTGCCAATCCATGTTCTTAAAAGTTAGGAAGAACTACGTTTCTTCAGCTTTGCAGATCTGCCTATCAAAAGAAGGCATCAGTGGTCAGTCATCTGAAGTTGTCCTGACGAGTTTCACAAATTGTGCATCTTGCACTATCTACCTCTATTTCCTATTTCCCAAACCTATAGCAATGGTTTTAAGACAGGAAGACTGCTGAGTTCCAAAAGCATTAAACTAACACTATGCTTACTATTCTTCTTCAAGGACCCTATTAACTCTGGGTCCTTGAAGGCTCTGTTTTGGTGCAACCCTCTGTTACCCTCAACGGAAACATAAGAGGAAAAAAAAAAGGGAGGGGGGGTGTCTTTTGAAGCCTTACCGCTTCTGCCAGTTCTTTGGTGAGGCATAAGGAAACCAGGAACAGCCACAATCTGAAAGGAGAGGGAGGGTGAGAAACACGGGCTCTCTGGACTACAGGGTCCTGAGTGAGCAACACCCGCCCCCAAGCCCCAAGCTTCCTTTTGATGTCTCTTCGCACTTATTTTTTGCAGTGACAGAAGTGCAAGTAAAGTTCTGGCCGGGGCAATGCAGCCCAAAGTTGAAAAGGAGTAAAAGTTCTGAGCAGCAACAGCTCACCCAGGGTGCATGCTTGTGGCTCCTCCGGAGCTGGGTCCCAGGAGACTGCTAAACTGCTCCACGGCGCGGGCTCAACGGGCTCCGTTGATGCTTGGCAGTTTGTTCCTTATTCAGGACAGTGTAAGGGGGCGAAATGGCTTAGTTTAGAAAAAACTAAGAGAGCTGCTAGATAAAAAAGTGCTCCGAAGGAAAACACACTCAGCGGTGCCCGCTAAAACTTGTAGCACTCAGGAGATAGTTCCATGCGCCCGGGGAGGAAGGAATGGAGGGGAACGGGGCGGGGTTGTCTGCTGTCAATCATCTCCCCACCTTGGGAAGCTGCTTGTCTTTCTCAGTTCAAGCATCTCTACACATAACAGTCCCACAGCTTCATGAGCAGGTCTTTAGAGACTTATGCATGAATAGAATTAAGTATGCTACTACTACATAGACAGATAGACCTGAAAGTATCTGCCCCAGGAACCCAAATGCACGAACTCTTATTCTAACTGATTGTACACTAAGCGGGGGTAGAAATCTCTTTAGTTCTAAGTCTAAATCTCTAAACTAACTAGAACCTGAGGATAAATTGGTCCTCATAAGACAATTCAAAATATAGAGAGAATGTAGTTTAACCCAGGGACTGAGAATCGAAATGTTCTGAAGAGTTCTTAAGCAGATTCCTGAAAGACATTCCAATGAATCCACATAAAGTATCTTCTTGGTCTTTCGATACTTAAAAACGTCTATAAGATTTATCAAGGTAATATTCATGCCTACTTCATCTGGGATCTACTTCAGCTACTATTGGCTTCTTACAGGCAATTCTAATGAGGTGTTGCTCATTATAAGGAATTATACTAATGTTATTTATTTACCTGTCATAGTCCTGAAACACTATGACTGTCATATGTCATATGTTTATGTTAGCTCGGTACAGGTAATAAATGTTAATTATGGAACTCAATGTATGTAAATAAAAATAAATAAATAAAAGTAGATAACTAATCTATGATAATATTAAACCTTATAAAATTATTAACCTACTTAATACATCTTATCTTACATGTGTTATAACATGCATTAAGGATTTACAAATATATATGTTCATTTTTTTACTTCATTTATAGATATCTAATATTTTCTAATCTTCTGCTTGTATACAGAAACTCTGTCCCATGAGCACTTGGAATGCAAAGGCCAGCAGCCCAGGGAGCAGAGGCAAAAAAAAAAAAAATGTTTCTAATGATTAACAATAAAAAGTACCATATCTCTGAAATCCATCCGCTAAAGAGAAAATAGTCCCAGCTCAGGTCTATTTGGAAGTGGCTTTGAAGCTCAAATCAGAGGGAAAGCTGGACTGATCAGGAAATAGTTCCATTGAGAGAAGTTGCGACTGAACAAATAAGAAATCTTGGTGGCTGGACTTATGGTGTTCAGTCAACTGATCTTGAAGTTTCCCTCCCTCAAATAACTGAGCGTCACTCCCTCGCAGGTTGCTGGTGCAGTGTGAAGCAGTGGCGGAGTGATACTCAAATTCCCCAGCGCTGGCTGGGAGGGGGCGGTGCAGGGAAGAGAGCGAGGAAAGTAGATTTGTAGGACGTGAGTGCGGAAAGTTTGCAAGTCCCAACAGAAGGCAAAGTGCTCCCAAGAGACCGGCTTTGGGGAGGGGAGGGGGGAGGGAAGAACAGCTTCTTCTTTCTTGTTCTTGTTTTTTTTTTTTCAATCGCTTCACTCTTATAAAAAGCTTTCTCTTCACCCAAGTGCACCAGCATAACTGGGACACTCACTGCTCCTTCCTAGCTCTAGCTCTCTTCCCAATAACCCCTCAAGATTATGTCAATCGGTCCGAACGGACCTGGGATTCCGTGCGGGTGCTGAAGGAGCTGCGGGAGCCAGAGAAGAATGCAAGTGCCTGAAGTGTGCCTGGACGCCGGCTGGCTCTTGCTGGCCCTGTGTCTGTGGGGGCAGCCCGCAGAGGCTGCGGTAAGTCCTCCCTCCCGCCCCATCGCCACTCGCTCCCACGGAAACCACTGGATCCTTTACCTTCCTTACTCCTTGACCTTGGCTAGGGAAGCCAAAATTAGCTTTTACTAGAAAGAAACACAATTCACAACGCTGGTCCGAGGGAGAATTTCAAGTGTTTAAAAACAGGGCCGCTTGCTTCCCTGCAGCTACCTCTTCTGGGACAAGAGTGGAACCAGGGCTGGGCAGGGCTGTGGGGACATATATTAATGGGTCACTGGGCTCCGGTGGGTGTTTAAAACTTTTCTTCCTCTCTCTACCCCCCACCTTGGGTTGCTGTCTGCCAGCTAGCTTTTTTCACCACTTGTACCCAGCCCACGCACTCTTTAAACTTGGCATATAGTTTAATATTTGGTTCCTCTAAAATTTAACTACCATCAAAGTGTTAATAGCCTTGATGGAGATCTTCCCTTCACGTATGCTTTTTTCTTAGGCAACATGAACCTCCCCTCAACCCCAGGTCGGCAGAGTTCTGCCCTGCTTTCTGTCCTGTTGGCATCATTCCTATACAATTGTTAAAGTAGCATACCAATCAGAGTGAAGTAGAGAGGCGTAGCCCTATGCTTCAGGAGTGTTTTGCATCTATTTTTTTAAAGTTAGGGATTTCTGTTTGTTCACAATTTTTTTTTAAACTCACAAAGTCACCTGAACAAATTGAAAATTTGCCTTTCACCTATTGACAAGAAAAAGAATTCTCAGTTTTCAAATGGGCATGAGCTTTGTGGGATAGAAGAGTGGGGGAGGATGGACATGGGAAATGACAGAGCAAAAAGTTCCACTTGCCTTTAGGAATGTAGCATGGATGCCACAGTCTGCTGTCCCAACACCCTCTCTCCTTCTGGAGGTAAGAGGTAAATGCCAGTGAACGGCTTTCTTGCAGAAAATGTTCTCCAGTTTGAAGGCCATGGTACTTAATTTCACTTAACTAAGTGCGTGATACATTATTTAAGTGTTTTATTTGAGTAATCATAATGGGTGTTTTTTTTTAAATCACTTAAATATGACATCATAGCAGAGGCCTTCAGATGGTTAAATGACTCTCAGTCCCTAGATGCAGATATTCTGGGTCCATTTTAAAGTTAGCTAACAGGGTCCCTATTGTACTCAGCACACCTCAGATGACATTGCCCTTTGTATATCCTGAAAAATGTGTGTCCCACCAGTATAAAAAGTGACTTTCATGTTATTGTAATCACAACATAATTATGAGGGAAAATTTGCTGAAAACACATAGCAAATGTCTTAATTATGAATGCTATCATTTTCCTCTACCGAAGTAGATAGGTGATTTAATAATGTTCTTTGGGTACAGAGCATTTTTAATGGGGTAATGTTTAGACAGTCAATATGGCTAAAGATTGTTAGACTAAATTATAATTGTGCTATAGAAAATAGCTCATTCGAAGATCATTTTAGTGCCTATTGTTTATAGCATTTGCCTTGGGGGCAAAGATTTTGTGGATGATTCATGAAGCAATCCTTCCTTTTAATGATCTTGCTATTAATAAATCTGCACTAGATACCAATTACACAGGTGTGTATAACAATACTGCATGCCAGTTTAAATCTGCTTATATTAAAACAGATTTTTGTGCTTGACAAAACTTATGTGTAAGTTTTTTATTGATTCTTAAAGAAACAAGTGTTTATGAAGTAATTGTTTTTCCTCTCCTATACATTTTTTACAGGACATTTTTCTAGACAATTTCCTATGATTAAAATCTTGTCCCTCTTTAAAATCCAGGGGTTTGTTTTTCCTGCTTCAGAAATAAAAGGCCTAGTTAAGTGAAAGTTTTAATCATCTCAAAACTATGAATGGTATCTGCTCTCCATACTTGTGCTAGGGATATTGGTGACCTTCTGCAGAGTGAAACTTGACCATAGTTGGGTTAGTGTTTCACTGAGATTGTTTAATATTGAGGTGTTTATATCAGAAAGAGCATTGTTTATTAAATAATTTTACTTTTTCATAATTATGTGATTTCTCTATCTCTGAAGTCATGCCAGAATTGGATATCACAAATATACGAAAACTTTTAAGGGCGAAGGTTTATTAGGTAGAGTAAAATAACCCAGGTACTGAATGATCAGCAGTAAAAATAAAGGCAACTTTAGGCTGGAAGGGTCATTTTTAGGGATGGAAATAGCATATTTTTATGTTAAGGTAATTATACAAATTGTCAAATATAGAAGCTTGTAGATTTATGGTTATAGCTCTAAATACTACTAATAGCATACAGATATCTGTGAGTTGTTTTTAATGGAAGAGGGCAGATGCATTTCTACAATTTAAACCATACTGTGTACCTGGTGGCCAGTGGCTAGAATTTATCAAGGGTAAGACTAAGACTATTGGCCAGGAAATAATATTTCTTCTATGAATGTTCTGTAGGAAGAAATGGTCATCGTTGTTTTCATTATCATTTTAGTTTACATTGTTCAGTGTTTATTATGTGCTAAATACTATGCTAGCATAGTAAGGTAGATTTTCATATTTATTCTTTTTTTTGTGGTACTAGGGATTGAACCCAGGGATTCAAACACACCACATTTGCTCTGTGGTCTCTTCTTAAGAGACCTACAATGTATGTGAATATACATATATATGCACATATATATATATATATATATATAAAGAGAACTACTTTTTATGTGAGGAAACTATGAAACAGAGAGGTTAAGAAACTTGCTAAAGGTCACATAGGCAATGAATTGTAGAGCTGGAAAATTTAAATTCCTACTTCGTCCTTAGGTCTCTTATACTGTCTCCTTTGCATGTAATCTATTTCTATTACAATTTTTGGACACAGAAGGTGCAATGTTAATGATAATGGGATTTACATCTCTTCCTGCTCGTGTTATGTAAAGCAGTATTGCATAATGTAAATAGATGTGTACTTTAAAGACCAGCTTGATCTCTGTGTGTATACAGATACAGGTTGTATGATTTTATGCAATCGCGATAAAATTTAATTTACTTACAACTAGTGATAGATTATTTTCTTTATGT